CATTTTAATTAAAAAATTACAAAGTCTGCTTAAATTCACAAGTAACTTTGGTACAGGTAAATAAGACTGAATAACAAAATTGTTTTTTACAATAGTAATATTTTACTATAGAATCATAGAAGTTATACAAAAAATTGCTCTGCTTTGACATGTGTCTTTAATGATCAGCTATCAAGTGAATTACCAGTTAATTATATCACTAATTTTTAATTACACATGCAAGTCTTTTTGGAACTGATGATACAAGTCTGTTGTTTATTCAGGTATTTTGGCCCATCCTTTTTTAATTATAGTTTCTAGTTGATTAACTGGTGTTGCTGCGTTTTCAGAATTCTCTGTAGATTTTCTGACAACGATAAGGTCAAACTACTGTGTAGCCAATAAAGAACATAATGTTTCACTATGAGCCATTCTGTAGTTATTTTTGTTGTATGAGACCTCATATTATCCTGTTGAAATACTGTTTGTTTTATTTTTCCTGAACAGTTTTCAGCATGAAATGCTGGGATAATCTTCAAGAATTTTGATGTAATCTTTGACATTTATTGTTTTATAGCAGATAATTTGCTAACATCATTAGCTACATATATCTCACACCTTTATTGAAAGAGCTTTCTGCATGGATTGTGAATAGAATGCTGGGTTGCTTTTCCTTTTTAGTTTGGATGACCTTCCTTTTAATGTTACTGTAACAAGCATTAAATATGGACTTGTATTATATGACCTTTTTCCATTGCTTATTACACCATTTCAAATAAGCTCTTGTCTTTGTTGTTTAGCTACCTTGAGAAAGAGATTTTTTCTTACTATGTAGAACTTGAAGTAGAATATTTTGATGCAATTGCATACAGTTGACAGTGAAAAATCTATATTATAACAAATAATTATTTATTGTAACATTGTCACAATGCCAGGCTGCAAATTTTTAATCATATTTATAATTTATTTAATTTAAATTATATGCTCTCTACTTCAAATTAGGAGTATCTTACCCTTATACGTTATACTTTTCCTGTTAGCAATAGAGTCATGCTGGTCATCTAACTAACTCCTTTCAGGGAAATTTTTTGAATTGAAATAATTATGATTAACTATATATGAACTTTCAGTTTGTACTGGAAGTTCATATATAATTAATCGGTGTTGCCTGCCCTTAAGTTTTCCATATCTGGTCTCGACTTTCATCTATCTAACTCTGTTCTTGGGATTAAGGAAGGACAGACAGACAACAGCAAGAATTTATAAGTCTACAATTTTTTTCAAATTGCAGCCCAATATTTGTGCTATCACACACAATTGTTCTTGGAACTTATTATTACACTGACACAATCTTCTGTGAGGAAATAAAAATTACTTATAGATGTGACTTCATCCATACTTTACTTTTTATTGCCACTTAAGTGTAAATTTTCAGAAGTATAACATTGCAAGACGAAGATTCTAAAGACACACAATTATCTTTTGATGTGGTGCTTTCCTTGGGTGACTAGCACTTATATTTTTATCTGTTATCTTATTTTTACCTCTTATCATGTTGTGAACTGTTATACTTCTATGCATTCAAAGCTAGAACTACTTAAAATAAGTAAGACAAAACCTTTCACACTCTATTTCTAGCAGTTTAATCACTAAATACAAACGTAGGTACAAAGGTCCTGCTAGAGGACAACAGATTTAATCCGAACAAAAAATTAACATATGTTGGCTCAACGTATGTTAATTTTTTGTTCGGATTAAATCAACCAACAGATCACTTACAAAAAGGATATTTGAGCACAAATATGACACATACAACAAAAAGTTTAATTCTACCCTAGCCCAATTTGCAAGTGAATTAATAAATATAATGGCCAAATGGGAAGAGGCTAATTAAATACTCGGTTCAGATGTCACGCCAACAGTTAACTTAATCAAAAACTTCATTAAGAAACTTCAGACTACGAGGCGTTAAATAAAATATTTCTTCTAATTTTATTTAACGCCTCATAGTCCGAAGTTTCTTAATGAAGTTTTTGATTAAGGGAAGAGGCTAAGATTATTATATCTATGCTTGACAATAAAAAACTTAGAACAATTGAAACAATTTAAATCTTTGCAAAATCCCTCAAGGCGAATTGTATCAACAGCAGAGATGCAGACTCGCTCTCCTCCGCATGGCAATCATTCTTCAATAATCCCTTAAACTAAATAGGCCAATCCACCCTCATTGAGTCTGTCGCAATCTTTAGAGCATTTTTTTTTGCTTTTTATTTTCCAGTTTTAGCAATTATCTCATCAATAGTCATTTGCACACCTTGGATAATAATATCAAAAGAAAATTAACAATATTGATAGCGTCTAAACTTTGTTATCAGCAATGGCGTCACTTGTAAGAAGAAATCTTTGTAAACAGTGATGTCGTTTGACTATCTGCTGACCAACCTTATTGTACTTGAAGAAGGCCATTCAAAACGGCTGAAAACATTTGTACTTGGTGATTAAACTGCTAAAACAAAGTGTGAAAGGTTTTATCTTACTTATAATGAACTGTTATCCTTGACAATTGCAATTTCTGGAGAGTTTTTTGCTCAGAGAAGTTATTTTTATATCTGTCTACTTAACTTAGTCTTATTCCATGTCATGGATGTCTACTTCATAGATAACATTCTTTTATTTATTGCTTACAGTTAACTGCACATTTGTTTCTAAGGAAGATTTTTAAGTAGCTTCAGAATTTGCATAAATGCTCTGTAGTTGAAGTTCATTGATAGCTATTGCACAACAGTGCATTTGCATGTCTTACTGTATAATGTAAAATGTGTATAACATCAGATCAAATAGAACATAATTTCTTCAAATCTGACTAATCACAATACATTTTTAACATTTTTTTTTTTTTTTTACATAAAATGGCCACATTTACATGGCTGACTTTTTACATTTTTATATTTTACATATCTGATCAAGCTTTTGTGGCTTAGGGTAACAGTACCAGTATCTGACACAGACCCAGTGATTGATAAATACCACTAAAATTCCTAGTAAATGTTTTAAATTTAATTACTAAAGCCAACCACTGCTGTATGCCATTGGGCTATATAATGGCTATAATAATAAATTATCAAACAATTATGTGCCATCTCGTAATAAATTTAATAATTATAATTTTAAATTAAACTGGAAGAAAAAAGTGGGAATTGTGTGTTCGAGTCCAGCTCCAGGCCAATTCTTTTCTTCCAGTTTTAATTAAAATTATAATTATTAAATTTATTACAAGATGGTGCCTAACGCCTCTCTTTAGTGTCAAATTGTTTGGTAATTTATTATTATTATAGCTGTTTTCTTCTTAATTAATTTTCAATATTTTTTTCTCTGGATATAATATTAACTAAGTAGGCCCAAGTAAGCCTATAGTTTCTCTAGTTTGTATTAGTTAATCTTCTATCTCTAGGAATTAGAATTAGCCCAATGTCACATGGCAGTGATTGGCTTTAGTAATATAGTGTATCAGGCTTTCATAGCGTTGTTTGCTTTAAATTAAATTCAGGACAGCAAATACAATTTAGTGTTATTTTTTTAGTAATACCAAGTGATTTGATGTAATTCAGTTTTTGAACACTAGAGAGGAGAGAGAGAGGGGGGTATGGTAGAAGCCATTTTAATTGTGACTTGTGTTTGAAGCAAGAAGACCTTAATTTTTTGTTAAGGAACAAAACAGAGAAAATCCATTTCTATCTAATTGATGTTAAGTGTTTTTAATAATATTTTACTTTATTTCTGTAATTTAAGTAGTGAAAAATTATTAAAAAATAGTGTATAAAGCTACAAATAACTATTTAAGGCAAAAACATGTAATGTCAATTACTAGTTTCAATATTTGTTATTACATCAGACTTCAGATGTCAAACACTTTGTCAATCACTGGTTTTCTTGTTATTTAGATATTTTCTTCTAGTTTCATTCCAGATTTTCTTATATCAACTGATGATTATGTCTCCTATTAGTCTAAGGCAGGTTTGAGAAAACCAAAATTCAAATATTCTGAGTCTGCAAAGAATGAAGCTTTCATTCATTGCAACCAGTCTTCAGGTTGGTTTGTCTGTGTTAACAAAGCTTTTAACTGTGAAGAATGCTAAAAAACATTATGTTGGACTCATAAATAGTATAGAAAATGAACCTGATGTAAAATTTGTGAGGATAGTGCCAAAGAACCTGTTTGTTTGTATGGCCTGATTGTGACGATATTTTAGTGATTCAGAAGAAAATTTCTGAACCACTGAAATATCACAAAAACATAAAAATTTTAGTTGAACCAAATCGGCATAGAGAATTAATTTTCAATGTTTTCTTCTCTGGATATGATATTAAGTAAGTAGGCCCAATAAGCCTATAGTTTCTCTAGTTTGTATTAGTTAATTTTCTATCTCTAGGAATTAGAATTGCTACTGTTTACTTGTTTGTAATAATGTCTAGTCAACAGTTCAATATTCTTATTATAATTTAAAAAAATATAATTTTCTCACCATGTTCTACAGGGATGTTTTAAATCTAGGTTAACCCATAATACATCGCAAGTGCATAATTGATTAAAATATCTTTTTGATCGGAAAGCTTGTTTAACACATCTGTCTGTGGTGTTATGAACTGTGTCAGTTACTGAGGAAATGTATGTCAATCACTGGGTTCTCAAGTGTCAATTATTGGAAAAAATATAGTTGTTTGTTTGGAAAAAATAATTATGTTTTTCTAATTTGTAAGTATCTTCTAAATATGGCATAACTTTATGTATTACAGGAAGAACAAAATACAGTCTTAGCTTTAAACAATAAAATTGTACAAATTCTTTTATAAATATGTTACCTTACAGTGTCAATCATTAGTGCCATTGCCATAGACTTTGTACATTGAAGCTATTTCTTTGAACTTTGTTATTATTAGATTTAGTAATACTATATAGTTTAATAAACTATTTTAATAAAATTTTTTGCTTTACACTAATAATTTACTCATTAATTTCCTAGTCTCATGGTGGATTATTAAGAATGTTCCCAGATGGACTTGACAGTGTTGCAAATATTGCACCACTTTTTGATAGAATTATATTTTTTTGGTCTGATAGAAGAAATCCACATGAAGTGCAGCCTGCTTTTGCTGTTAGGTAAGTTTGTTTTCTTATATGTATCTTTTTCTGAATAATGAAATCAATTTCATAATAGATGAAACATTCTTATAAATAGTTAATATTTTTTACATAGAAGAATGTAGAATACCAAAACACAATACTTATGAAATAAATAAAAACGGTAATTTGTTTAATGCTCTAATTTACATGAAAACTAAACTTAGGTAGGTAGAAACATCATAGATTAATTTTTTAACTCATTCAGCCAGTAATAAATGTTGGGTACCAATTTTTTATTTATTTACATTACTAAATTTTTTAAATAAATAAAAATCTGTTAAAGCACTGCATGGTGCATCATGTTGCTTTCCAAGATTATATCATGTTTGCACACTGCTGCTTTGCTTAGAGAAAGAATGTAGGCAAACTTTGAATGGGTGATCAAATGAATTAATTACATTTTATACAAATCAAAGATTGAATTAAAATTAATTTGATTAAATAATATTTAAATAGATGTTTTTGTTTATATAATCAGAATATTTGTTTTCTTAAGAAACAAACTTACCATGCAGTGTTTAATACATGGTAATATCCAAATAAATCTTCAATGCATGCATTTGTATGAAGGACAGTTTATAGAGAATAGATTATCAATTTTTGAACATTTTAAGTTGTTGATTTTTGTGTTTTGCACAAATTTGGTATATTACATTTTGAATATTTGAACAAAAAATATTATAATGAATTTAAATTTAGAGTGAAAAAATCCAAAATGTGGGCATTACAAAACAAATGAAGGTATCATGTTGTTATATGGGTGAATAGTTGGAAAATACATTCACAGGTCTTAAAGTGACTCACTTTTTTCACTTTTTTTTCATAGCTCCTCTCTTTTTTAGCTTTTTCTGAGGCAAACTTGTTTTTTTAGCTTTTTTTCACTTCCCATGTGGAATTTATTTTTGTAAATGCATTCAGGAGCAAAATAGCAACCAGCATACCCCTATACTGCAATCCTCCAACAATCAAGCTGCAAGAAACATATAAATAAATGAAATGAAGCCTTTGGTCCCAAGCAATTAAGACTGATGACTGCCCCTCAGATGTCTCAGTGTCAAAGTATTAGTGCTGAAAGTGTTGCTAGTGTGAGCAATGTTGTAGACTCAGGTGCTAGTTCAGAACATCAATCATTGCAACAACCTGTGTAGTGCAAAAGATGGTGCTTACATTGCAGAGCTTATATGGACTATGAAAATGACAGCCAGCAATTATTCATTTGCATCATGTCATGATATAAAGGAGACAATCAATGCCAAGTGTGCAGACAATCTTCCAAAAATATTCTCATTGTCACATCAAAAAATGAGATACTTAATCACTGAAGCTTTGGCCCCATATTTTTTTGATCAAATGGTAGATGATGCACAATGGTCATATTATAGCATTTCTTATGATGAGACATTCAATGTAGAAGACAGAAAATAACTGAAAATATTGATTAGTTACTGGTCAGAGGAACAAAGGAAGTTGTCTGCAGGCATCTCCAGACCTCATTTATCAGGCATGCAGATCCGAAACAATTAAATCAAAAATAATACTGGCAATTGAAGATGCATATCTACCTTTTGATAAATTACTGATGATTGGATGCAATGGACCTTACATAAACAAAAAAGTATTGTGTCTCAAAAATGAGGAAATTTTGACAACTCATAAAAAAGGCCTCATCAATGTAGGGACTTGCAGCATTCATACAATCCACAATGCCTTTTTGAAAGGCCTGAAAGAGTTGGGTGGAGATGGTGGTGATCTCATCATAGCAATACAGCTTTTTTGATGGGTGGCTCTCTAGGTGGGATGAATACACAGAAATTCAAGAGAAACTTAATTTGCCATGCAACAAATTCATGAAGTATTCATCAACTAGATGACTGACATTTGGTCCTGCAGCAAAACGACTGATCGAACAATGGGAAGGACTCGTATTATACTTCCTAAAGCACATTCCTCAAGAATTCCAGCTTAATGAATAGTGTTTCATATAAGATAATCTCAAAGTCATTGAAGTGTTCTACCATCAAAGCTGAACTCAATTTAGGAATATCTAGTGCTGAACTATTCACAAAGTTTACTGGGCATTTTCAGTGCAATGATCCTTTAATACATAAACTTTATAGTGAATTGCTTACTCTGGTGTGAAGAAAATTCAGTGTGATGAAGAGGAGAAAACAAGAGAAGTGCAAAAACTGCAGCATGACTTAAACAAAAGAAAATCATCTTTAATTACAAATTTTTTTAAACAAGAAATCAAAAAATGCACCTTGAAATAAATGGCATTTGAAATTTGACATGTTATATGGAGACACATTCTGGTAGTTATGTTACTCTTCCATTTCCTTTGCTGTATAATGGTATGAACTTCATACGGGGCATGAAAACTTAATGCAGGCCCATTCTGGCTTAATGCAGTCTTACTGGTCACTTTTCTGAAGTATAAACTCAGCCTAACTATTTTCATATTTAATTTTTTCAGTCCAATAAAAAATCAATCTAATATCATATGCAATATTATTGATACAAAATATGTGTGTGTGTTTTTTTAATAATGCCTCTTTTAGTTCACTTTAACACTATTAGCTTTTTTTCAGTGTGAACTCTCTTTTTTCACTGCCATGATTGCTTTAAGCCCTGTTAATTAATGAATTTTTATTCAAAAATCTATCAGTTATTTTATTATAGATAATTTAGACTGATTTATTCTTGTACATTATTAAATTTTTCAAAAATTTGTACTGGAATTGATTAATATCTATTTACAATTGATTCTCATTACACAGATCCATTATCATTATTTCATTCACTATAGTTTTCATTTTAATATTTATTATTTGCATATCATTTATTATATTTTTATTCCCATTATTTAAAATAAAAATAAGTTTAAAAACTCGCGCCAATATTTGTATAGTTTCTGGATACTACTTCACTGAGTTCAGCGTTAATGGTTCCTTTATTATTAACACAAGCACTTTCAACGAGTGTATAATCGTCGTCTTCAGGTGAAAAGAATAAATTTTAACAAAACAAATGTGCAGGATGTTCGAAAGGAACAGAATATTTAAATTCAAACAGACGTCCGGAAATTCTGTTAAGAATGTGCAAATAATTTTTGATATGTTCGAATCTTTATATTTTACGATGCTAGCGGCGCATGCATGGAAATGCTACCATGTTGGCGATCCTGTTTGAATTCCACTGGTTAAGCTGTCTCTTAACGCTATTGTTTATATTACTTTCCCCTTTAACATGTCCTAGAAATGAACTTTGATTAGGTTCTCCTATTTCATTTATACTCACTTTAGCTTTACAAACTTTTGCGTAATGACCTACTTTTTTGCACTTATTACAGATCGCCTTACGTGCAGGGCAATTAAATTTAGTATGTTTCACCAGTTTTCCACACCAATAACAGGAATTTAAAGTTTTGTTTCTGGTAAACGAATTGTCGGTAGCTTCTGGCTTCGAAAATACGTTCTTCCTACGTGTAGTTTTGCGTAATGCATATATGTTATTCCCGGAATTGTTCTTAAAAGCTTCTTGTTGCTTTTTTACTGTTTTAGCCTGTCTTGCAGTGTTTATTGCTTTCTCCAGAGTTAGTTCCGTTTCAAGTTGCAAACGTTCCGAAACCTTTTTGTCTCTAATGCCGCAAACTATTCTGTCCCTAATCATTTCGTCTTGAAACGAAGCAGGGAAATCACACGTTTTAACCAGACTATATAATGATGTCACGAAATTCTCCACTGTTTCTCCATCTTCTTGAAACCGAGAATAGAATTTATATCTTTCGTATATAACATTTTTAGTTGGGACGAAGTATTTTTCGAATGCCACCTTAACTTTATTGAATAGTCATTTCTATCCTGTTCTGGGAGACTAAATGACGCCAAAATTTCCTCGGCCTTCTGTCCCATTAAATATATGAAAGAATTTACCTGGTCAGTTTCCTCTTTATTATGGAGTCCAGACGCTGTTCGAAATCGTTTGAAACGCCCTATCCATGTTCTCCAATCTTCGGGACGAAAATTAAAAACTTCTGGCGCTGGGATCTGATACATTTTCC